CCCCAAAACCCCAAAACCCCAAAACCCCAAAACCCCTTTGTAATTCTCAAGGGTTGAAGAGGCCAAACCTTGTTTTTATTATTTATTATTTACTTGAAGATCAAGCTTGAGCTTCTTTTCATTGATATATGGGACAAGCTTCAAAAATCCAACTCTATTCATCTTCCGTAACTTGTTCTTTGAGGTTTGTTTTGAAACAGACCTGTGAATCTTACTATATACAGTGGTTAAATTAGAAAGAAATACCTCTTATTAGAGTCTTGGTGCTGTTTAGCTCCCTGAACTCTCTTAAAATAACTACTCATAGCCTCGCTCCCAGATGGTTTACATCAGTTGGCATTCTGACCTTTGCGCTGCATTGACCGGTAAGGAGAGGAGCTTCTGACCTTTGAATGCCGGTTAGTCATCTGCTTATATTTCTTCTTCATGATTTTTATAATTTCCTGAACATCTTAGAGCTCCTCTTATTAGAAGTACTTCTTCGCTCTAGAGTAAAGTTATGGCTTACTACTTGTGTGCTTACTCTTTGATCTTTTCTTGTTATTTTAACTGTTTCACATTATTCATATTATGCTTGGAAGCACCTCTTGAGGTGCTCCTAGGACGTTTGTTGAGATTATCCACACTTTTGATCTTATTTAAAGAAATCTAACTAGTTACCAATGTCAACTTACTCTTACTAAGATTTTTGATTATTTCGAATGGAACAGCTTGCTGGATGGGTGCTGTCTCTTCGAATTTAGGAAGGAGATCGACCTTGTTTAGAGTAGAATTTTTGTTAAAAGTGTCTTTACGACCATCACAAATATATTGACTCTCTGTATAAGTAATATTGACAGAGTCTTCATCATCCTTCTCCTCTTCAGGAGTCTCTTCAATCCTTCTGGGCTGAGGAGAGTAAGGCACTTCAAGCCTAATTGATTTATAATCCTTGACCATATTGGTTGAAGGGATCATTTGCAGATTACTTCCATCCTAAAATTAAGTTGGCTAGTTTACCTCAAGGGTACCAAAATCTATGTTCTTAAAGCTAGGTTTTCTTCTTGAGCTGTCCTTAGAGCTTACATCTTTCTTCTTGTCCTTAATAGAGTCATGGACAACAATATTTAAAGGATCAAAATCTGAACTTTCATATTCATTATCCTTATAATCAAGCTTATAGGGTTTTAATTTATTTCTTGAAGTTCCTGAGCCAATTCATCGTTGTCATTTCGTCATCTATCCGTAATACCACGTTTGGTTTCCTCTTGGATCTCATCTTGTAATTACTACCTAAGAAAAACCATGAGATCACTATATTTCTAACAAAATTCTACAAGGAAGTGAATAAAGCTGGATAATTTTTCTAAAATTCTCCAAGAATCCCTGCTGGGCTTTGTGGTGGCATGCTTACTTGTATTCTTCCGAGACCTGTGGTTGTCAAAGTCTATAAAATATATCCTATGGAGTCCAAATCTCTTACCTATTTCTTGTTTAACAGATGTAGCGTTCTCTACCCGGTTAGGTTTATAATTATCAGCCCCTGAGGCACAATTGTTTTGTCGAGCAAAGCTCGACTTCTTAAATAAGCCCCATTGCCTTTTAAGTTCCCGAGGGTTGTTCTTGATCTGTTCAAAAAAGTCATCATCTGCATTTGAGTTATTCATTATAAAGGAAATAAACTGAGAATACTTTTCTCCCATATCTTCAATATCAATAGAGTCAGGACTGGGATTGCCACCTGCCGTGGCACCTGTCTCCCCAGCCTGGTTCTTAGCATCTTCAGGGAGAAGATTTCATAGTTCTTTATTCATATTTTTTAAATTCAATCAATAATTTTTTGGGGTTTTGGGGTTTTGGGGTTTTGGGGTTTTGGGGTTTTGGGG